AAATGTTTTTGAGTGCCCTTCACAGCTGGTTTAGAACACTGGCGTTGGCAGATGGCCTCCATAGGGCTGTTTGTGTCACAAATTACCAAGTCACAGTGTACATAAACCTGTGGATGTACCATTGTTAGTTTTAGGGTTCCCTGATTGCTTTCATGGCAAGTTTGGATACTTGCCTCATGTTTCAGAACTTTGTCTTCCTGAATGAAAGCAAACATCTTCATGGAGAACCGCTTGTAGTGGGATGGGAAAGACACTCTTTCATCCATAGATACAGTATGGAACACTGTTGCATAGTTGTCACCAGAGTATGCACACCTAATAGAGAACAGCAACTGTTAATTCTGACCTGAACCCTGTTCAGAGCAAGTTTCACTACATTACCCATTGACGATGATGTCCCAACTGGGAAGGGAGGTTCTTTCTTCCTGAAGAGTAGCCCAGCAGTTATCCAAGATGAGCTCCAAGTTAGGGTCAGTTGATAGTGCCAACTCTACTTCAAAGTACAAAGGCTCCCTCAAGTACTTCTCCACTGGATAGTCCTCAGCTTTATAGAAGTTCTCATATGAAGAATCTAAAATACAATTAGATTTTAGTTCCAGTTGTGGCTGTAACTGTTTAAATTTGCTGTATCCTTACCTGTTGCTTGCCTCATCTGAATGCTCATTTGTCCAGAGCCAATCTCTGCCTTTGGTTCATAAAGTCTGGACTTTGTGTTGAAGGCAATAGTTTGAGTGTCATTCACCACATAGTAGCAGGAGACAGTTTGCCTGCAGAGAGACTGGCATCAGCAAAAACCCCAGTAGGACCAAGTGTTCCCTATTGATGTTTGTCCTTACTTGTATTCAGGGTCCACAGGTGAAGTGTGAGCAGCTCCTCTCTTGCCATGGTAGTACAGGCCAATTTCATTTTCATACAGCATGTAGTGGTCAAAGAACTAAAGATAATGAGTTTAGTTAGAACCATTAGGAAAAGGCCAAGACAGTAGCAAGTATTAAGGACTTACTGTTCTAGTTGTTCCACAGGAGTCAGCACTGAAGATAAATTGAGCAAAGTGATCATTGCTAAAAACTGGTGAGCAGGATTGGTCCTTCAGAGTCAGCCAGCTTGGGTTAAGGTTGGGCACAGATTCTACTTTCACAGCCAGAGCACTGATTGTTCCATTGGGGTAGCACCCTGGAGGTGGTTGTGTTTTAGATGGAGCTTCCTCATTTAGAATAATAAGTGTTACTTTACTTACTGGTTGTCATCAAGGGGAAATAGCAGGCCAGGAAGAGGTCAGAAAGAATCCAGTTGGTAATTGGGTCCCACACCACCACATCCAGCCTGGCTCTAATGGAATTTGTTGTGATCAACTGCAAAAAAAAATGCACATATTGACAGTTCCTTTAACACCCAAGGACTCTGAACAAAATATAGACCAAGTCATTCATAGCCCAAATCCCTCTTGCTGGAATTTGCCATCTTACCTCAAAAGATGAACCAGTGGCTGCATATGGCACAGCAATGCTGAACTGAGTGGCATCGCCCTTGAAATTGTAGAATTCTGCCAGCTCTGGGGTAAGGTCCAGGCCACCAACCATTGTATTTGTGTTGTTCCCTTGGCTGCCATATTTTACAGTGATGTAAAATTGCTCCTGGTCACAGGTGCCAGTGAGTACAGGAAGCACTGGAAGGAGTGATGAGACTTAAGGCTTCAAGCTCAGGAAAGACCTCAAGTTTCAATATTAGAGTCTTACCAACATCCTCGACAGAGGCATCCAACTCCACTTGATGGGCAAATGGAATTTCCTCAGGCAGAATGACAAACCCAAAAACTACACTGAGGCTGTAGGTAGTTATCAAGAGCTCTGGATTCTGCATACAACAAACAAGTGTTAACATTGAAAAGGGAAACCAGAGGTTGAGCATCCCATCAATAACTAGCTTACATGTTTAGAGACAACATTAGAGTCAAAGGGAACTTTTAGAGAAAACACAAATGTCCCATTGGCAAGGACATGTTGCTGGACAATGAACCCTCTGGCGTTGCTCTCCTCAACAGTAAGGACTCCAGTGGAAAAAGTGATGTTCCTCACAGCCACATCATAGAGAAATGGTCCAACATACAGGTTAAATTCCCTCTCTTCAGGAGTGGTGCCTGAGAACAAGATTATTCAGTCAAATATTCCAATTACCAATTTTCTTTGGCAGCTTGATAAGACTTACGGTCTTCAGTGTTTGGAGGGCGACTCATTGGTGGGGTTGTAATGGGAAACAAGATCTTGTATCTAGTGTCATCTACACTTTGGTCTGCCTTCCACAGCACCTCAAGCATTGGCTCGACGGAGTAGGTCATATGGTACTGGTAATCTGGTGCATGGCTCTGCAATTACACAATTTTAGTTTAACCACTTAAACACCAAAACCATGTTTGTTTGTTTTTAAACCATCCAACCTTATAGTAGCCATCAGATGATCCAACTGGGATCTCCACAACAATATGGAAGTCTGTGGTAGACAGAGAGTACCCCCTTGCAGCCATCTGAGCTTTATCCAGCCTTTGTCCATTGATTCCCATAGTCATTTCCACAAGCCTAATGTGGCCATCTAATAGTGGAGTCACACGGCGAGGTACGTGCCAAGAGATTAGGTCCTCAGTAAACAGAACACCACCTATACATTGAAAAGAGTTTAGTCTGTATAGAGACAGTTTCAATGGAAAGCCATGTTGTTCAGCCTTTACCTGTTGGACAAGCAGCTGCCAAATTGAAGACATTAAGTCCATCTTGACCCTTGTGGTAGATGCTCACCTTCATCACCTCCATAGGGACTCCAGCAACCTAAAAGTAGCCATCAATGTCACTAGTGAAGTGACCGATTGCTGAAAGTAAAAAAAGTGTACCTACATCCTCTGAATAAGTTTCAGCCATGTTGTAAGGGCTTCGCACAACCAGACGGGTAGATGTGGTCTTGGCACTATAGCCAGCTTGTTGGGCTTCCTCCAGGACCAAAGACATAGGCTCAGGGGTGAAAAATGTCATCTTCCAGATCCCATGCACTTCTTCAGAGGCCTGCAGAAAGCCAAAAAAAAAATGTCCATTATAATCTTGTTACAACTCTAAGCTTTAATGAAGCCATTAATACATACAGTGGTAATTGTGTTGAGTTGGAAGTCCTCTCCCTTTTGGCCTTTAACTTTAGTTTGGGAGTATTTTGGAGCCATGTATGTTGACACCTAAGTGAGGTATAAGCACACTTTTAGACAAGTCTGCAGTGTATGATTTATTTTATTTATTTTATTAAAGACTCACTTCCATGTAGTTCCTGTCACAGAGGATTTCTCGGGTTGCCCAGCTTGTGTAGCTACAGGTCTTAGCCACATCATGGGTAATCACATCAGAAGGACCATGGTGGTAGATTTTAAGCTTCAGGCCAACATTGAAGCTCATGTCATCCTAAGAGACCAGAAATTACATTTTAGCAAGCAAAAGGGAACAATAAAAGGACCATTTAACCTGGTGCTTTAAGCCAATTAATCCCACCTTATTATGGACATAACAGCCAAGGAGGGAGGTGTAAATTCTAGTGTTACCCCAGGGGTCCGACTCCATGCTGTATCCACATTGGGCAGCTAGACTGGGTGTCAACAAAATGTGCTGGGTGCCATCTGTTGGAGGATAGAGTTTAAAATATTGAGTAATTTCTATCACTCTTAATCATAATTCACAACCTCAACCTACTGATTGCTTCCACTTCAAGCTGATTCCCCACTGCTAAAGCTTCATCCAGGGTCAGCCGCATCAGATTAGCAACACAGTCCGTTTTAATGCCACTGCCTGCAAAAAACCCTTTGTCAAAAATCAAAAATAGCATTTTAAACATACTCTAGTCAAGTAATGAAGCAAGTTGGACTTACTTGGCTGAGAATCCTTCATTGTTGGCCATGCTTGACCCAACGCAAAAACTACAGCTATCAAGTTCCAGATCAAACTAGAACACAAGAAATGAGTAAGGTAAGACAGGTTACAGAATATTTTTTTTCCCCCTAAAGCAGTACTTACATTCTCTCAGGCTTCCGCATGGTGCAGCACAGAAGCAGGCAAAAGAAGAGCTCCACCAACAGAGTTTGCTTCAAATAAGCACAATGAACCCAAAGGACAAAACAGCTCTGAGAGAGACAGAGGAGCTGATGTGTTGTGAGGAGCCTCAGCACCTGTTTTATAGGCCAGTTAATCACAGACACTCTGGTGACCTAATCAGTAAGAATATAACACACCTGGAGGTTTTTTTTTTTTTTTTTCCTCATACACATTTAGCAAGTTTGCACATGCTTAGAGCAATCAAAAATCAAATATAATGCTGATTCATCAATTGTGAAAAAATTGCCCATTTTTCTAAGCTCTGAAGGTCACAGAACAATTTGAATATCACAAATACACTGGCCCTTAACTATTCAAAATCAGGCACTACATTTAATTAGGCTGCTCAAATCATTTTGCAATGGTGTCACAAGCTATGTTCACTAACAGATAACATACTTTTGTTTTTGCAAACCAAATCTAAAAAAAAGAGAATGAAAATACTGGATTGTATTTAATGTGACACTTGGAAAGCAATACTCTTTTGTATTTATACACTACAAATGTATTTACAGATTATATTTGTCCTTTCTTGTTTCCTTTAATCAGAAAGTATTTAAATTCTTAAATGTGGATGTGTCTAATCGATTATATGTCAGATTTTCTTAAAGTCTAGGCATTTGGGCTTTCCTCTGAAATCTAGACAAATTTAGCTAAAGCAGTCCTTTATTGCTGCAAAGCATCTAATATATTTGTTGTTTTTGATGCCTCATGCAGTGGATAGCAGCAGTTATCCTGTATGCATTTAATGAATGGTGCAAAGTTCTTATTTAACCTAATCTCTTATCTTCACTATTTGATCTCCAGCCTCTGGATTAATTCAATGTTAATTTGTGAATGATAAAGGCCATAAAAGATTGCCACAAGATACGCCTGGATTCCTTTTATTACAACTAAAATAATTGGGAGAACGACTTTACTATTTTTCTGTGGAATATGTCTTTTTTTTAAATCACATATCAGTGTTTATAGAACTTAAAAAATTGTGAAAATATATTTTGTCAGATACAGATAAAAGATTGTTTTAAACATAGAAAATCCAAAAACCTTTTTTATCAATCTGAAACATGTTTTAATAGTTTATTAATGCAATTCCAAAGCACAACACTGATATCCTAACACACAACAAATTTCAATTAAAAATTACTTAAACAGAAATACATCTTCTCATATCAATTCAAATCTAATCAACATCTAATAAAGCATATTTTTTTGATCCAGTAGAGTGCATACAATCCACTTTGATCACAATTATAAAAGGTTGCAGTTAACCTTAGTTGAATTTGTAGTGTCATATAAAATTTTCTATATAATCAAGCATAGCTGTTTGGATTAGCTTGACTCTTCAACAATCCCGACTGCTTAGCAACAGATGTAGAAAATAACAATTTCCTTTTTACATAATAATAATAATAATAATACATTTTATTTAAAAGCGCCTTATCACAACACCCAAGGACACTGTACAGGCAGATAAAAACATGAAACTAGAAGCAGTGAAAATAATCACCCCGGATTCCTATTACCCGAGTTATACAAATTTTGGAGCCTTTAATACTGATGATTTATGTAAAAAAGGGGACTATAGAGTCTAGGATCACACATATCCTGTGACTGACTGGGGGTCAGTTTTTTAGTAAAACAGTTTCTGTTCATATATTGTTTGAACTGGCTGTGTATTTGTATCAAAATAAAGGCATCTTTGTCTGTCTTTCTTTAATAAAATGTACAGAAAGCAAGCCTCATAACAAAAATGTTGATGAAATAAATAATAAATTAAGTATATGCAGAAGAGGATAGTCTGAAAAAACGACAACCTTGTTTTTCAATTAAAAATTCATTTTTTAAACATTCGAAATGTTCAATGTGGAACTGCAGATTGTGTATCTGCATGAAACAGCTACACGGTCTGTCCAAATGTTCTCCAGTATCTGCAAAGACAGTCATTATGCATCAGATAAACCTGGTTTTCAAGAGTTTATACAAAGATGCTTGAGTAAAATCATCAGTATCCTCTGTTTATCTTCTTCTGTTGGTCCAGAAGTGTCTGCTGCAGGCTCACTCTTGCATCTTCAAAATCTGGATTGAGCTTGAGCACTTGCTGGAAGTCCCTTTCAGCATCTTCAAAAAAGCCTGGAAGAAACATAAAGAGAGTTATAGTGTGTAATAAGCTCAAGGCTAGGATTTCTAATGCATTTGCCAAATTCTGAGGCACTCCAGCGCCAGATAAAATCTTGACTATAAACACACAGCTCCATCTAGTGCCCATTAAAATTATACAGCAAGTCACCATATGGTCAGTTTTATTTTATACTCATTAAAGTATTAAATGGTGAAACTGTTCAAAGCCTTTGACACATAAATAAGATGGTTGTGTAAACTATATATTCCTACTGCTTTTTTTATTTAAATCTGTATTTTTATTTATGTTTTTTTATTTTTCAATATATTTTTTTTTCATATTTAAATTGCATGTTGTTTATAAACTCCAAACTTATATAGGAATGGTTTAGGAAAATTGGTGTTCACATAATGCTGTATCCAGGCATATTCATAAAAAAATTAGTGCAAAGAAAGTGCATCCTTATACCGTTTATATATCAAGAGGATCCAAGATATGGACAACAACACTTGTATTCCTTGACCATTGCAACAGAGTAAGGCCTCTCCTGAGCCAGAGATAATGGATCCCAGCTAAGGAGAAAAATAATGGATTGTTGCTCAGTGGTGCAACTTGGACTGCATACAAAATCATGAACCTGTAGGCCCTTAGCTCCTGTTTCTTCAGCCTTCATGATGTCATCAATAAGACCTCTAAAGTGGATGATGGATGATGCTAGTCAAATCCAGGACTACAACCTTAAAAAAAACCAACAGGACAGATAACTTCACTTATAGGCGAGTTGTCTACAGTGAGTTTTTATTTCACCTCTTGCTCGCCTACACTGACAAGCTTTATGAAAAAACTGGTTTTATTTTCAAGCAGGACTTAAACGTGTCTACAATGCAAAAATATAAACACTAGCTTCAATCACTGTTGTATTAGTTCTTTGACTGGCCACTAAAAAATGCCTGACCTAAGCCCTAGAGAAACTATGGAGGATTGTCAAGAGGAAGGTGAGACATTACTCTGCACAATCTAGAAGCGTTGCAGAATGTACATTGCTAGGGCCACAGAATACTTGCCTCCACATTGATCAATTATCAATCATCCTTTTAAGTGATGGAATGTAATATTATGGTTTTATAATAAAAAAAAATCAATAAATTAAAAAAAGATTTAGGGTTTTCATTAGCTGTTAAGCATACACATCTAAATTAGAATAACTAGAATAGAACTACAATAACTAGAATAACCATTACAATTCCAAGTTTCACTCTGTAATTGAATTACTGACATGAACAAATCATCATTTATAATTAGTGCTGATGTTTTGATGAGTTCTTCAAGAGACAAAAATATACATGGAGGATTTTTTTAAGCCAGAAATTTATTTTGAAGGGTCAGAGCGGAAGAAGGTTACTCTCTTTAGCATGTTTTAGATTATATTAGATAAGTTATTGTTTACTCGTTATTAGAGGTGGTCATTTTTACCTAATCTATATCGGATGAGTCCTCTGTTGTAGAAAGGAACTGGAAACTGGCAGTCAGTCTTTATAGCAGAGGTGTAGTCCTCCATAGCTTCATAAAAATCCACCCGGAAGTACTTTATCTGTCCACGGTTGTTATAAGCGGTGGCTAATTTGTTAGCTTCACATTTCCTGTACAGATAAAACAGAGTTACAACTCGTTATAGCTTTATTATTAGACCCGTGGAGAGAGTAGATAAAATAAATTGGTTTTCGGTAAATAAAACTCGCATTTCTAAATACTAAAGGTAGGAAAATGTTACAAAACCCTACGTTTTTAATAACAGCGATCGTTAGCTTGTTTAACATCTCTACGAGATGGAACAGTACCTGGACTGTAAACAGGAAGAGATAAACTTTGTATACAGCTCTTCCGCTTGGTTAAAGTTGCGTTTGTTGAACTCTGAGTGCGCATTTTCTAATAACTGTGAGTTTTCGCCCTCCATAGCAGCCGCACAGGAGTAAAGGTTGTTGCGGATGTGACGTCATAGCCAGACGGTCCAATCAAACTTTTGTGCGTCAAAAAAAAAAAAAAACACGAAGCTTGTGAGGAAAAATAAAAAATTAGCTAACATTGTTGATGGAAAAATATTGCTTGTATGTTATAATAATAATAATAATAATAATAATAATAATAATAATAATAATAATAATAATAATAATAATAATAATAGCAACATTTTTTTCGACATTTAATTTGAAAAAACAAATTTTTTATTGCATTTGTGTTTAGGCCTCCTCAGTTCTGTTTTTTTTTTTTTTTTTTTATCAAACTACCTTTCAGTACAATCCCCTCTGATCCATTGGGCAATAGGTAGGCTGCTGCTTTTAAAGCTGAGTTTACCTGTTACTCCTCGACTTAAGAAGAAGAGCTCAGAATCAGCTTTATTTTGCCAGGTATGTGTAAAAATACCTGCCATTTGGCTTTGGATAAAAATGGTAAATGGCCTGTACTTATATGGAGGACTTGACCAAGGCGCTTTACATGAAATTCAGTCATTCGCCCATTCACGTACACATTCACACTCTGTTGGTTGCAAACTAAATTGCAGCCCTTGGGCTCACTGAGAGAAACGAGGCTACATCCAACACCACTGTTGTCCCTTGATAGTACAATACAAACAATGTGCTTGCTTATTCAATAACACTGCGGTAAATTAAATCACCATGGGTAACAGAATACCGAATGTATACTGTAAACAAAATGGGCAGATTAAGACGATAGAGGATCAGTGCAATGAGCAATGAGGATGCAGTCAGAAAATTTGTAATCCCCTTAAAGGTGGAAGTTAGGTGCTGAGGATAATGTTTAAACAAACAGAAGCATCTGGAGCATCGAGGTGATGATGGATGTAATGCGTTACCAAGTTGACTGCTTCATCCACTGACCTGTTAGCCATGGAGACAAACTGCAGGGGGTCCAGCAAGCGGCATGTATTGTTCCTCAGGTGGGTCAACACTAAGGACTTCATAAAATATAAAAAACTGCTTTCATCTTTATATAATGAAATAGTAAAATGTGTTTTTTAATCTAGTTTTAAAAACTAATTATAGTTATAAGATATTCATGGTTTACAAGGAATAGTGTTAATGTTTTGCAATAATAAAAATATCTTATTTAAAGCTTCTAACTCACCCTATTTTTTGTTTTACTTTTTTATAAAATAAATATATATTTTGATTGTTGTCTTAGAATTAAATATTTTTCACATTACCATCATATTGGATAGATTACACCAAAATACACCCTTTGTTGGAATCCTAAAATAAATTGAGTTGTGACAGCAGAGGGCAGACTTGATTCTTATTTCACCAAAACACAATACTGTGAACCCCAGGAACATTTGTAAATCTTTCACCCTAGAAGAAACAAATTCTTCTGAGCAGCACATTTTAATTTCTTCTCAGACTGATTAGAGGATTTACAATTTAGAAGTAAGCTTAGAATCTTTGATAAGTAAAAAT